TGTCCCTCTGTCCCCATGACCTGTCCCCATGACCTGTCCCTCTGTCCCCATGACCCGTCCCCCTGTCCCCATGACCTGTCCCTCTGTCCCCATGACCCGTCCCTCTGTCCCCATGACCTGTCCCTCTGTCCCATGACGTGTCCCCTCGCTGTCCCCGTGTCCCGCAGCCCCTCCGGGGGGGTCCCGGCGCTGCTCCGCTCCCGGGGGGTCCCGGTGCTGCTGCGGCGCCTCCCGGTCGGCGACTTCCTGTGGGTGGCGCGCGAGAAGGACCCGCCCGCAGGTGGGCGTGGCTTGTGCGGGGCGTGGTCTGGTGTGGCCACGCCCCCTGGGCTGGGTGTGGCGGTTTGGGGGTGTGGCTGTCGCTAATGGGTGTGGCCGGGTGCTGGCCACGCCCTCAAAGCGCCACGGCCATTGGTTGGGTGTGGCCAGAGGGGGCGTGGCCATGTCAGACCACACCCATAGACTGGGGGTGTGGCCGTGGTGGGTGGGTGTGGCTGGGCGTGGCACTGGGGGTGTGGCCATGTGTGACCTCACCTGGGTGGGGTCAAATCCTGGCTCCACCCCCATGGGGGTGGGTGTGGCCATGGGCAAGCCACACCCCCAATGGAGGCCGTGGTGGTTGGGCGGGGCCTGGATGAAGCCACACCCCAATGGAGGCCATGATGGGTGGGCGTGGCCTGGGTGAAGCCACACCCCTATGGGAGCCCATGGCGGGTGGGTGGAGCCTGGGATTGACCCCGCCCCTTGGTGAGGGGCGGTGCAATGGGTGGTGGGCGTGGCTCTGAGTGGGCGTGGCCCGGCCCAGGCCACGCCCCCCGGGAGCTGGCGCTGGACGTGGTGGTGGAGCGGAAATCGGCGGCGGATCTGGGGAACAGCGTCAGGGACGGGCGGTACCGCGAGCAGAAGGTGGGCCCGGACTGGGGGGGACTGGGACGGACTGGGAGGGACTGGGAGAGGAGCTGGGGGGCACTGGGAGGGACTGGGACAAACTGGGATGGGATCTGGGAGGGACTGGGACAGACTGGGAGGGACTGGGAGGGAGTGGGAGAGGAGCTGGGGGGCACTGGGAGGGACTGGGACAAACTGGGAGAGGATCGGGAGGGACTGGGACAGACTGGGAGGCACTGGGAATGAATGAAGGAAACTGGGAGGGGGGGACTGGGACGGACTGGGAGGGACTGGGAATGAATGGGAGGGACTGGGGGGCACTGGGAGAGACTGGGAGGGGAATGGGAATGAATGGAGCAACCTGGGAGGTGATTGGGGAGGGACTGGGAGGGGAGCTGGAGAGGCTGGGATGGACTGGGTTAACTGGGGGGCACTGGGAAGGACTGGGGAAAACTGGGAGGGGATCTGGTGGGGACTGAGGGCTGTTTTGGGGAACTGGGAAGGACTGGGGGCCACTGGGAAAGGTTGCAGGGGGTTGGGAGGGGACTGGGAAGGGCCTGGGGTTAACTGGGATAGACTGGGGTTAACTGGGAGAGGATTTGGGGATTCTGGGGTTTTTTGAGGGGTCCTGGGAGGGACTGGGGGCACTGGGGGTAACTGGGATGCACTGGTGTAACTGGTTTAACTGGGATGCACTGGGATGTACTGGTTTAACTGGGACGCAGTGGTGTAACTGGGATTCACTGGGTTAACTGGGCCACACTGGTGTAACTGGTTTAAGTGGTATAACTGGGATGTAGTGGTGTAACTGGTATGGACTGGTGTAACTGGGACGCACTGGTGTGACTGGCGTAACTAGTTTAACTGGGGCGCACTGGTGTAACTGGTTTAAGTGGTGTAACTGGGATGTACTGGTGTAACTGGTGTAACTGGTTTCACTGGCCCCGTCCCAGTGGCGGCTGCGGCGGGGGAGGGACTGGGACAGACTGGGAGGGGAGTGAGGGGGCACTGGGAGCTGTTTTGGGAAACTGGGAGAAACTGGGAGGAGTTCTTGGGAGCACTGGGAGAGACTGGGACAAACTGGGGGGGGATCTGGGGGAACTGGGAGCTGTTCTGGGGAACTGGGAGAGACTGGGAGGGGCTGCAAGGGGGGAGAGGACTGGGAAGGGCAAGAGGGCAACTGGGACTGACTGGGAGGGGACTGCGGACACTGGGAGGGACTGGGGGGCACTGGGGACACTGGGAGGCACCGGGGTAACTGGGATGTACTGGTTTAACTGGGATGCAGTGGTGTAACTGGGATTCACTGGTTTAACTGGGGTACACTGGTGTAACTGGGTTAACTGGTTTAACTGGGATGCACTGGTGTAACTGGGACGCACTGGTGTAACTGGGACGCACTGGTGTAACTGGTGTGACTGGGATGCACTGGGATGTACTGGTGTAACTGGTTGTAACTGGTGTAACTGGGTTAACTGGTATGGACTGGTGTAACTGGTTTAACTGGGCCGCACTGGTGTAACTGGTGTAACTGGGGCGCACTGGTGTAACTGGTTGTAACTGGTGTAACTGGGTTAACTGGTATGGACTGGTGTAACTGGGTTAACTGGTACGGACTGGTGTAACTGGGTTAACTGGGCCGCACTGGTGTAACTGGGCCGCACTGGTGTAACTGGGATGTACTGGTGTAACTGGTGTAACTGGTTTCACTGGGCCCGTCCCAGTGGCGGCTGCGGCGGGCGGGGCTGCGCTGCCCCGTGTACCTGCTGGAGGAGCCGGGGGAGGGGGAGCCCCTGCCCCTCCCCCTGCCCAGCCTGCGCCAGGCGGCCGCCAGCACACAGGTACCCCCGGGACCCCTCCCCAAAATAGAGAGAGACCCCTCTCCAACAGCCAGAGACCCCTGAGACCCCTCCCCAAAATGCACAGAGACCCCTCCCCAACACCTAAGTACCCCTAGACCCCTCCCCAAAACACAGAGAGACCCCTCCCCAGCGCCCCAAGACCCCTGGGTTGGATTTGGGGGGGGTCTCAGAGCTCCCCTCCCCCCCAGGTGGTGTTTGGGGGGGCTGGGTTTGGTTTAGGAGGGTCCCTGGGGGGATTTTGGGGGTCCCGGGGTTGGATTTTGGGGGTCCCGGGGTTGGATTTTGGGGGTCCCGGGGTTGGATTTTGGGGGTCCCGGGGTTGGATTTTGGGGGTCCCGGGGTTGGATTTTGGGGGTCCCGGGGTTGGATTTTGGGGGTCCCGGGGTTGGATTTTGGGGGTCCCGGGGTTGGATTTTGGGGGTCCCGGGGTTGGATTTTGGGAGCATCCGTTGGGATTTTGGGGTTCCCGGGGGTGTTTCTTGGGGGTCCCTGGGGGGATTTTGGGGTTCTTGGGATTGTTTTGGGGGTCCCTGGGTGGATTTTGGGGGTCCCGGGGGGTTTTGGGGGGTGTCCCCTGAGCGTTGTCCCCTCCCCCACAGCCTCATGGCCGCCCTGGGACCCTCCCAGGACCCCCAAAAGTGCCGGGAGGTGCTGAGCACCCTGCGGTGTGGGCCTGCCCAGAGGTGAGACCCCCCCCCCAAAATCCTGGGACCCCAAATTCTGGGGAACCCCCAAATCCCAGGGAATTCCCCCAAATCCTGGAGAACCACAAATCCTGGGGATTTCCCCCCCCAAATTCTGGGGACCCCCCCAATCCTGGAATCCCCCCCCCCTAAGAACCACAAATCCTGGGGATTTCCCCCCCCCAAATTCTGGGGACCCCCCCCAATCCTGGGGAATCCCCCAAATCCTGGAATCCCCCCCCCCTAAATCCTGGGAATCCCCAAATCCTGGGAAATTCCCCCAAATCCCGGGAACCCCTCATTCCCAAAGACCCTCCCCCAATCCCTGTGTCCCCAGACCCCTGTCCCCTGTCCCCACCCCCGATTTTGGGGGGCTCACCCCTCTCTCCCCTCCCCCCCACAGGAATTTGGGCCCCTCCCTGAGCGGGGCCCTGGTGAAGCTCTACGGGACCCCGGGGCCGCTGGCCTGAGGGGACACCCCAGTGACACCCCAATGTCACCCCATTGTCACCCCAGTGACACCCCAATGTCACCCCAATGTCACCCCAATGTCACCCCAATGTCACCCCAGTGTCACCCCAGTGTCACCCCAGTGTCACCCCAGTGTCACCCCATTGTCACCCCCCAATAAAGCCCCTCCCCCACCACTGCAGCACCCCGAGTTTTGTTCTGGGGGAGGATGGGAGGGGGAGGGGACACCGCGGGGACAGGGGGCGACACTGTGACAGCCCCACCACTGCAGCACCCCGAGTTTTGTTTTGGGGGAGGACGGGAGGGGGAGGGGACACCGCGGGGACAGGGGGTGACACTGGTGGCAGTGGCAGGGGTGGCAGTGACACCCGTGACCCTGAGGGTGACACCGTGACAATGACAGGGGTACATGTGACAGTGACAGTGACAGTGGGGTGACACTGGTGGCAGTGACAGGGGTGGCAGTGACACCCATGACCCTGAGGGTGACACCGGTGACAATGGCAGGGTGGCAGTGACAGGGGTGATGGTGACAGGTGACAGTGACAGTGGGGTGACACTGGTGGCAGTGACAGGGGTGGCAGTGACACCCATGACCCTGAGGGTGACACCGTGACAATGACAGGGGTGGCAGTGACAGTGACAGTGACAGTGGGGTGACACTGGTAGCAGTGGCAGGGGTGGCAGTGACAGTGACAGTGATAGTGGGGTGACACTGGTAGCAGTGGCAGGGGTGGCAGTGACACCGGGGATCTTGAGGGTGACAGTGACAGGAACAGGGTGACAATGACAGGATGAGGGTGATGTGGGGGTGACACTGATGGCAGTGACAGGGGTGATGGTGACAGGTGACAGTGACCAAGGGGTGACACTGGTGACAGTGGCAGGGGTGGCAGTGACATGTGACAGTGACAGTGACAGTGGGGTGACACTGGTGGCAGTGACAGGGGTGGCAGTGACACCCGTGACCCTGAGGGTGACACCAGTGACAATGACAGGGTGGCAGTGACAGGAGTGATGGTGACAGGTGACGGTGACCAAGGGGTGACACTGGTGGCAGTGGCAGGGGTGGCAGTGACACCGGTGATCTTGAGGGTGACACCAGTGACAGGAACAGGGTGACAGTGACAGGATGAGGATGATGTGGGGGTGACACTGATGGCAGTGGCAGAGGTGGCAGTGACAGTGGCAGGGGTGGCAGTGACAGGGTGACCCATGGTGACATCTGTGACAATGACAGGGTGGCACTGACAGGGTGAGGGTGACCCGTGGTGGCACTGGTGACAGTGACAGGGTGACGGTGGCGGTTTGGTGACACAGCCTGGGGTCACACCGGTGACAGGGACACCTGGAACAGCGACAGTGACACCTGTGACACGGGGGTGGCACCGGAGTCCCCTGGGGTCAACTTGGGGTCACCGCATCCCCAAAATTGGGGTGGGGTCTGCCCCGAGCCCTGCGGTCACTCGGGACCCCCAAAGGGTCCCCAAAAATGGGGGCGGGGTCACCCTGGGGTCCCTTTGAGGTCCCCTAAGCGAGGTGGGGGGGGTGGGGCTGTCCCGGGACCCCAAAAAATGTGGGGAGGGTCCCCAAAAGGGGGGGGGGCCGGGCTTGGCTGGATTTGGGATTTGGGATTTGGGATTTGGGGGGGCGGGTCCGGCTGTGCCCCCCCGCCCCCATCCCGGGCAGGAGGAGGAGGAGGAGGAGGAGGAGGAGGCGGCGGCGGCGCGATGCTGGTGGCGCTGGTGGCGCTGGTGGCCGTGGCGGCGGGGGGCGACGCGGGGGTCCCGCCGACCCCCCCGTGCCCGCTGGGCTTCGGGCCGGTGGCGGCGGGCGGCTGCGGGGACAGGGACGAGTGTCGCACGGCCGCCGTGTGCCACCACATGTGCCTCAACCACCACGGCGGCTTCGCCTGCCACTGTCACCGCGGCTTCGTCCTGCAGCCCGACGGGGTCACCTGCCGCCGCCGCCGCCGGGGACACCGGGGACAGCCCGGGACCCCTCCCCAGGGGCTCGGGGGACACCGGGGACAGCCCGGGACCCCTCCCCAGGGGCTCGGGGGACAGCCCGGGACCCCTCCCCACGGGGGACACCCGCAGCTGCCCGAGGGCACCGGGCGCGGCTGGAGCGGCCGGGGATGGAGAGCCTGCGGGGACAGGGACGAGTGTCGCACGGCCGCCGTGTGCCACCACATGTGCCTCAACCACCACGGCGGCTTCGCCTGCCACTGTCACCGCGGCTTCGTCCTGCAGCCCGACGGGGTCACCTGCCGCCGCCGCCGCCGGGGACACCGGGGACAGCCGGGGACCCCTCCCCAGGGGCTCGGGGGACACCGAGGACAGCCCGGGACCCCTCCCCACGGCGGACACCCGCAGCTGCCCGAGGGCACCGGGCGCGGCTGGAGCGGCCGGGGATGGAGAGCCCGGGACCGGCGGCGGGACGGGCCGGGAGGAGCTGAAGCCTCGCCCCGGGACTCGGCACCGGAGCGGAGGCGCGGCTCGCAGGAGGGTTTGGAGGGTTTGGAGCGCGATCCCCACCCGGATTCCCGGCAGGATCCGCATCCCGGCTCGCTCTGGGATCCACGGCAGGGTTCGTTCCCGGGAAGGCACCGGGAACTGCGGCCGGGGCGGCACCGGGGCTCGCACGGGGACTGGGACCGGGATTGGGACCGCGATTCGGACCGGGATCCCCACCAGGATCTGAGGCGGGACTGGAACCGGGATTGGAACCGGGATCTGGACCGGGATCCCCACCAGGATCTGGACCTGGACTCGGACCGGGATTCCCAGGAGGATTTGCGCCCGGGAAGGCACCGGGGCTGGAACCGGGATCTGGACCGGGATCCCCACCAGGATCTGGACCTGGACTCGGACCGGGATTCCCAGGAGGATTTGCGCCCGGGAAGGCACCGGGGCTGGAACCGGGATCTGGACCGGGATCCCCACCGAGATCTGCACCGGGATTTGGACCGGGATCCCCACCCGGATTCGGACCGGGATCCGGACCGGGATTCCCACCAGGATCTGGACCGGGATCCGGACCGGGATTCCCAAGAGGATTTCCGTGAGGATTCCCAGCCCGGCGGGCAGCGGGATTGGCACCGGGATTTGCCCGAGGACTCCCGGGAGGATTCGCCCCCGGGAGGGCACCGGGGTTTGCACCGGGATTGGCACCGGGATTTGCGGGGCTCGCACGAGGATTCGCACCGGGAATGGCCGCAGGATTTGCCCCGGGAGCGGGATCCAGGCTCGGCGCGGCACCGGGACCGGGACCGGCACCGAGAGCGGGAGCCGGAACCGCCCCGGTACCGGGGGTGGCACCGGGACTCCCTCGAGGGGTCCCACGAGGGGTCCCACCGGGATTCCGACCGGGATTTGCCCCCTTCCCCCGTGCCCCCCTATAGGGACGAGGACCCCGGTCCTTACGGGGACCCCTACGGGGACCTGGGGGACCCCGAGACCTACGGGGACCCCTACGGGGGCCCGGCCCCCCCCTACAGGGCCGAGGACCCCGGGGAGGGGCCGTGGGACCCCGAAACGGAGCCCTGGGACCCCGACATTTATGGGGACCCCTACGGGGACCCCTACGAGGACGAGGACCCCGAAGAGGAGCCCTGGGACCCCGCCCCACCCCCCCCGGACCCCTACGGGGACCCCGAGCCCGGGAGCCTCCGCCGGGGCCGGGACCCCCAGACCCGGCCCTGGGACCCCTATGGGGACCCCCAGAGTGAGCCCGGGGACCCCCAGACCCGACCCTGGGACCCCTATGGGGATGGGGACCCCCAGAGTGAGCCCGGGGACCCCGAAACCAGGACCTGGGACCCCTATGGGGACCCCCAGAGCGAGACCAGGGACCCCCAGACCCATCCCTGGGACCCCTATGGGGACCCCTATGGGGATGGGGACCCCCAGAGTGAGCCCGGGGACCCCGAAACCAGGACCTGGGACCCCTATGGGGACCCCTATGGGGATGGGGACCCCCAGAGCGAGCCCGGGGACCCCGAAACCAGGACCTGGGACCCCTATGGGGACCCCTACAGCGATGAGGACCCCCAGGATGACCCCACAGGGGACCCCCACAGGGTCCCCGACCCCGAGGCTGAGCCCTGGGACCCCCCGAGGGCCCCCCATGGACTCAGCCCCTCCCTCAGGCCCCACAGGGACCCCCAAAGCTCCTCCTTTACCCCTCAGGTTCCCCAAAGTTCCTCCCCAGTTGCCCCCCCAGAATCCCAGTTGCCCCCAGTTGCCCCTGCCACTTCCCCCCCCAAGCCAGTGACCCTCCCAGTTGCCCCAGTGACCCTCCCAGTTGCCCCAGTGACCCTCCCAGTGGCCCCAGTTACCCACTCAAAGGCCAGGAACTCCCCAGTTATCCCAGTTACCCCCCCAGTTATCCCAGTGGCCCCCCCAGTGACCCTCCCAGTGGCCCCAGTGACCCTCCCAGTGGCCCCCCCAGTGGCCCCAGTTGCCCCCAGGGCCCCTCCCAGTCCCGGCTCCCTGCGGGTGGGTTTGGCGTTCGCGCTGCCGGTGGCACTGGGAGGGGCACTGGTGATACTGGGAGCACTGGGAGGGCTGGGAAGGCCCCCCCGACCGCCCCTGCCCAGCCCCCACGGCTGAGGGGGCTGGGGGGAGGGGCCCCGAACTGGGAGGGACGCCCCAAACTGGGGGTCCGAACTGGGAAAGGACCCCCGAACTGGGAGTGGTTACCCCGAACTGGGGCGAGGACCCCTCCCAAACTGGGGGGGGACGGCTCAAACTGGGAGCCCCTCCCCCACCAGGATTCAGGGCTCCCCCCGCTGCCCTCTCCCCCTTCCCAAACTGGGGGTCCGAACTGGGAAAGGGCCCCCAAACTGGGATCGCTCCCAAACTGGGATTGTTAACCCCAAACTGGGATTTTTAACCCCAAACTGGGATTTTTAACCCCAAACTGGGATTTTTAACCCCAAACTGGGATTTTTAACCCCAAACTGGGATTTTTAACCCCAAACTGGGATCGTTGACCCCAAACTGGGACTGCCCCCCTCCCCCAGTCCCGCCCTGCCCCCCCGGGTGGGGGAGGGGCGGGGGGCGAGGGCAATAAAGGGCCGGTGCTGCCCCTCCCCCACCCCGCGCCTCAGTCCTTTTTTTTGGGGGGG